ACAAAATTGGAACTTTCCTCTTTGGAAATTGCAAAAAAAAGATCTAACATCTCAAATGCTGAAAGAGAAGCTATTTTATCTCTTAAAAATAACAACGACATTGTTATTAAAAAAGCAGATAAAGGCAACACAATTGTCATCATGAACAAAGACCAGTATGTCTTAGAAGCACAAAGCCAACTGCAATCTAAACACTATATGCAAGTATCTGAACCCAACATGCTCAAACTGCATGAAAACATTCAAAATAAACTTGCCGCAATGCATTCAAATGGGTCACTGGACAAAGAAACTTACAAATTTCTTAATGACAAAAAACCTTCACTCAAATGTGGGCATTTGTACCTTTTACCGAAAACCCACAAAATACCAGCAAACATTTACAATGCTCTAATAAACGGTCAGTGCAGCATTAGGAAATTACCACCTGGTAGACCAATTATCTCGCAATGCGATACGCCAAGGAGGAAAATAGGACAATATTGCGATTACTTTCTTGTACCCATTGTACAAAAACAATCAACTTTTATCAAAGACACTACGGACTTTATCACCAGAATCGAAGGCCTCACATTGCCAACAAACGCATTATTAATTACTTATGATGTGACGAGCATGTACACAAACATGGAATTCAACAAACTTCTCTCATCAGTAAATGAGGCTTACACACAGGCCAATACAAGGCAATTAGACATTCCATATCCGGACCCTGAGGATCTAAACTTCTTACTGAAATGCATCTTGGAAAACAATTACTTTGAATTCGACGGAAAATATTACAAACAAATAATAGGAGCAAGTATGGGGGCAGTCCCCAGTCCAGAGATCTGTGACATCAGAATGTATCAAATCACAAAGCATATAATGGCACAATTTCGTCATGCCAGCAAAATTGTCTTCCACGGCAGATACCGTGATGACGGTTTCATAATATTCAATGGAACGCAACCAGAGATAGAAGAATTCTTTAATATCGGCAATCACTGTCACAAGCATCTCAAATTTACATTTGAAATTTCTCCATCTGCTGTCAACTTCCTTGATATTACAGTTTATAAAGGACAGAAATTTCAAAATTTTAACAAACTTGATATCAAGTCGTTTATCAAATCAACAAATAACTTTCAGTATCTACACAGACAGAGCGCTCCTAGCCCAGCTGTGTTTAAAGGATTCATTAAAGGAGAATGCATTAGACATGCAAGAAACACCACTGACCCTGAAATATTACATGCAACACTTAATGACTTCAAGACGCACTTATCAAAGCGAGGCTACTCTACTTCGGAAATTGATCCTATTATCAAGGAAACGGTCAACACAAACCGATCAAAACTCATTATCAAAAAGACTAAAGAACAGTCATTACGTAACCCTACAGTACTGGTTACTAAATTTAACCCTTGCGTTAAAGGACTGAAAAAACGAATTCTAAAATATTGGAACACCATTCTTAGAAATCCAGAATGCAAAACTTTATTTCATTCTCAACCAATCATTGCTTACAGCAAACACAAGAATATAGGTGACGAAATAATCCGGTCTCACCTAAAACAAACATCATGATTTATGTCCGTGACCCCTGATGAGGCTTCTTAATAGCCGAAACACTCTACAACTACTTGCATAATTCAAATCAGATATTAATCTGCTCTATGCAAAAAACATATCTACTTAAAGTGTGGTTTGGAGTGTCGGGTCCTAATAAATCTCTTACAAGTTTGGTTGATTGATGTCGCTAATTTTCACATCATGAGATATTTTTAAAAAAGGGGGGGGGGGTGAGGGCGACGACGACGATAATAAGTACTTCGGCGCCTAATACTGCCCCAGCAATGGTACCGACGTCACCGTATGAAGTGCTGTAGTTGTAGCAGTATCTTCTGTAAAAGGACGAATAGCGGCAGTTAGAGGCGCAACACTCTCTCCTAGAAAGGTGAACAACATGACATTTTTTTCGGTCATATACTTTTCTATGTGTACATGCACATTAGGTACTTTCATGTATATACTATGTTTACCCATACATTTATATATCAATTTATTAAATGTATTAGAGGAATACTAACAACACATACTTTATCTAGAAAATTGTGTGGTTCAAATATAAATATTTGGCACTTTTTTGTGGCAGGGAGTGTACTTTCGTGTGTTTGAGTATGTGTAAGTAAAGATATCTGTATGTGTTTCATCTCAATGTAATGAAGTATCTTTAGAAATGATCTTTTGTGCCTCTTTATATTTTTATTATTTCTAATCAAGGTGCCTATGAATAGTTCATTTTGATTAAAAACAATTCTCTAGATATTTAAACAGCATATCTTCGTCAGCTAACTGTGTAACTATTTAACTTCTTAAGATATTTTGTCGACACTTTGTCTCACGGTATTTGTATGTATTATGACTGTGCGTGCTATTTTACATCAGAAAAATCAAAAGAAAATGATAATACATGTATATACTTTTATATTTTTAATATATTAATCATAATTTTTATGGTCACTTTAATTCAATCAATGTATACATGTAAGAATTAATGATGTAAATTTTAGTAGAAATTAATACTATGATATATAGAAATTTACCCAATCTTCAAGAGAGAGAGAGAGAGAGAGAGAGAGAGAGAGAGAGAGAGAGAGCATATAATAATGAGCAAGAAAAACTTACATGCATTTAATATAGAACATTTAAATGACTGCACTGAATATAAGTCATAAAAACGAAATGTTTATGAAAGCTAAATGCTTACTTATGATGCTAAAGAAGCTGAGAAATAATATCCATACAATTCCAGCTGAAGCCATGATTGCTCTCGAAAGACCATGCAATGGGAATGTGGATGTAAGTCCAACTTAAATAGGAGCACGTTAATATAGCCATTCAGCTCAAGGATGTCTTTTGTCTAATTTGGTATATAGTCTATTAGTTTAAAATAAAAGCCTCTTGTCATTGCAGTTTATCTCATAAAGAAGTTCTGCAATAGCTTATATTTATTTTAATTGGAAACACACAGATATAAACATTCCAGTATTGTTTATTTTTTACATTGATAAAATCATGCGATAAAATATATGTAGAGAAAGGAAACATGGCAAGCTTTTTGTGCTTTATTAAGGTAATATAATATCATTTTTTTAATCAGTAAGGAATTTTCATACGTCAGTTTAGTTTGTCTTTTCATCTTTAGAAATTCACAGTCGTTTTCAATTCAAATGTTTGTTTAATGTTCTAAGCATATTACCAAGATGGAGACGCGACAAAGACGAAAAAGAAACTTGGCTGCAGAATAAACTTTTTTTAGAATTTGTTTTCTTGTGAAGCAGTACGTTGCACTTCTCAAAGGCTTTAAGTGCCAAGTACAAAGTCTAATGTCTAAAGATGAGGTCTTTCATCGGCAGATTTAACACCTCTGCAAGTTGTCAATTATGTTTTTTATACATATATACAGAGTCTACGTCGTGTGAACTAAAAATTCTATGCATTTTTACATTGCAGGGATATTTTAAAATTATGAATTCTGTAGATATTCTAATTTTTAATAAATTATTTGTTTGGTCAGTTCAACCTATCTGATATAAATCGATTGAAGAGATTATACGAGGGTTGATCCGTAAGTTCGTGATATTTCTCTCTGAAATTTTATTGTGATTTGATGGGAGCAAACAAGACATATTTATGAAAGCCATTAAGCAACAATACTGGAAACTTAGCATAGGGATTTTTTTCTTTCCAGCACCTACATTGATATGGAGCCCCGCTTTATACAGCCTCATTCGAAGGACTAGAGTCTCAATGTCTCACGGTGATTCAAAAGAAGGATATGGAGATAACGAACAGTATTCAATATCAAAGTCCATTAAACAATATAAAATATGAGCAGAGCAAATACAAACCTCCGGAACATCAAAGGTAGGATCAGGCGCCATGGAGGAGTGAGTTTCCCCTGCTGACCGGTCACACTCGCCGTGTGCTCCTTGTCATGATCGGGAAAAATCCGTCGTCAATTCAATGTGTATAAATATTGGACTAACAATTAGTATGTAAAACGTCGGTTAGCATTTGACTCAATGATAAATTGTCAAATTAGAGAGATTTCATAGATCCTGTGCTTTGGTTTGGGACTCCTAACAATTTATGTCTCTTTAGATTCCCCAACCCAATTAATTGATTTTAAATAAATCTGAATAGGCATTAACTCTTCTTTAATTATGTAAATAAATATTTACATTCCATACATATAATACGTGAAATGTATAATTGCATTGAAAACTCAATAAAAGAGTAAAATAAGTATAATAAAATATCAATGTAACAATGCATATTTTAAACATATCAAAATGGCATAGAAAGCAAAAAAAAAAAAAAAAAAAAAAAATTAACAAAAATCACTATCAATAAACTTCAACACATTTTCAAACTTACATAAACATGCATGGTTTTCAATATAAATCATATATGCATATGTGTATAGACGACAGTAACATACTATTTCTTACACAAACATATTTAAATTACAGTTATTGTAGTAATTGTTATAATTGCACTTCTAAGAAATAAGAAATACGTGTACAAAAAAGGAAATGCTTTTTGAAATGTAGAACATTGATTGATGAGCAATATCAGTTTTTTGGCGTATGGTAGGGTGGGCAGGCAAAATAATGAAGTGCTATACATGTATCAATATTTGACGTACAGCTGGGGTGGGCAGGTAGAGTATGTGCTATATCAGTTTTTGGCGTGTGGTGGGGGTTGTCATGTAGAATATTGATGTGCTGTATCAGTATTTGGCGTGTGGTGGGGGTTATCATGTAGAATATTGATGTGCCATATCTGTATTTGACGTACGGTTCGGGTGGGCAGGTGGAACCTTCTGGTGGTCCTGGTGAGTGACCAAACCCTGGCTGTGATGTTCCTGTAAAATGTGACTGTGTTGCTTCTTGTAGGTAAGCAAGTCCTGGCTGTGTTGGTCTCGGTGAATGACCAACCCTTCGTTGTGGTGGTTCTGATGCATGACCACGTTCTGACTGTGGTGGTCCTGGTGAATGACCAAGTCCTGGGAGTTGTTGCTCATACCCTTATACACATGAAGAGTCATACTCTGGTGGTGGTGGCATATTTTCTGGTAGTGATGTATGTCGAGGCAGTGTTGAATATTTTGGTGGTGCTTCATATTGAGGTAGCGCTGGTAAGCAATAAACATGCTGTTCCTGATCATCATATTGCCCAAATATAGGATTCTCAGTTGTAGGATATCCAAATCTTGGCATACCTGAACCTGGTTTTTCCAAAAGAGAAATAACAGAAGTAAGTTTAAAAGGAGTAAATTATATAAAATGCAAAGTGAGTATAGAGATGATTTATGTAATTAAATAGTTGATAATATTATGTATCTAGATGGTTACTTATCTTAATAAAGTAACTCCTTTTACTTTTAGAATATTTTCAAACAAATTTTCCATTCATATTTTTCCATCAAAAGATGTTTAAATGTGCAATTATGCATTTAGTGTTACCTAGTATATATATTGAAAAGTAACATTTTGACTGTTTCGTTTGATTTTATAAAGCCTTTCATCACTTAGCAAAATCTAAAATAATTATTCGTTGTGGTTTTCTTCGTCAATTACTACGAACAAATTAATTTGTACAGTATCTTCTATAGAGTGCTCAACTTTAAATTTTACCTTATTGATTTGATCGTTTTATCATTGATATAATCAATACATCATTTTTTTTTTGGGGGGGGGGGGGGGGGGTCCTCAAGTCACGTTTTTGCACACTGTATATTATTATGTTTATGAAGTTTTTTGTACATACAAAATATTTCAATATATGAAGTCGCAGGCGTGGGTCAGTGGTTAGAGCGCCTGATCTAGAGTCGCGGCAATCCTAATGTCGCAGGTTCGAATCCCACTGTGGGACGGGGAGACCGGTCCTTTGGATAAGACCGTATAAACCAAGGTCCCTGTGTTACATTAGGTGTTAGCAAGAACAAGATCCCTCACTGCTCAATGGCCCTCAGTGCAGAGTATAGGACAAAATTTGTAGCTCTCCACCGGCAAGTGGTGGCGTCTCCATGTGAGTGAAAAATTCTCGAGAGGTACGTTAAATAACATACAATCAATGAATCAATGGAAATGATAAGAAAAAATTAGAATGATCAAGACAGAGTAAGTTGAATTTTCAAACATTTTTTTTTTCAACGCAATGAAGTTTTAATTAGAAGTCGGTCGCCCACGTGGAGCAGTTCTTAGAGCGTCTGCTCTAGAGTCGCGAAGTAAGTAGTTGATCCTGAGTGCAAAGTATAGGACAAAATTTGTAGCTCTCTACCGGCAAATGGAGGCGTCTCCGTATAAGAGAAAAAAATCTCAAGAGGGACGTTAAACAAATATACAATCGATCAGTTAATTTGAAGTCAACATAATAATACAAACTGAAATATACCATTGTTAACGGTATTGGTTCTAGCCGGAGACGTGTCAGCATGACGAATGTTTGTAGTCTCTTGTGAAGACTGTTTTCTTTCCTTGCAGCAAATTAGCACAATTAATAGTAATAAAAAACCAAAACCAAAAACTCCTAAAACAGGTCTATATTCAAAGTTCGAACCGTTGGTATCCTCGCAGGAAAATAAAAGGGTAAAGTTTGAACTAGACCAGCAGGATTCTACCGTTATCAACTGACAGCCTGTCAATATTAAAAAAAAAACCCCAAAAATAATGATGATAAACGAAAAATCAAAACTAAAGAACATCAACAAAACAAAACAAAAGCAAAAATGATAATACATGTACATGTATCATAAAAAATAGTTTGGTCAAACCGTTCATGGCCAGCTGAATTATCAATGAATAAAATTATGCATATATACACAGTTTTACACGAGTACGATTTTAAGATATCTGTTCTTACCCATGACCAAGTTGTAGATAAAATGATTTTTTAAAATTAAGTCACATTGACGTAGACATGTAATAATTGATGTTTTGCTATGAAATATATTGAAATACTTACTTGTGACACAGAAAAATATCCAACTTTTAACGAATAACAAAGTTGCCATGGCGTTTGCAGGTACTGCAGTGTGGTTAGAATGGGTAAGTAAACTAACACGCAATATTAGGAATAAACTTCCGGGTAAGAAAAAATCAGACTATGTGACTGTAAATAATAGAATAACCTATAAATAAATAATCCAAGAGTACGGCAATACTACGCCTTAATAAAATATTGTCATTTCGTACGATTCACAAATTTGACAGCGTAATTGAAATCGTAACGGATAAATGGTTATGCTTTAAATCGCCTCGGCTAATTGGTTATCATCTACAGCTGTACAAAGAATTCATCGTTTAGAAAGCTATTGCTGTCAATAGTGTCTTAAAATTGTTTACACATTCTGGTGTAGTATCGAGACTACATGCATCTCTTAAAAAATATTAATTTAATGCTGATATTTACATTTTTTACCTCCCCGCGTCGTTTGTTTTCTTTTTTAGCTCACCTGAGCTGAAAGCTCAAGTGAGCTTTTCTGATCACATTTTGTCCGGTGTCCGTCTGTCCGTCTGTCCGTCCGTCCGTCCGTCCGTCCGTCCGTCTGTCTAGCTGTCTGTCTGTCTGTAAACTTTTCACATTTTCGACTTCTTCTCAAGAACCGCTGGGCCATTTTCAACCAAACTTGCCACAAAGTATCCTTGGGTAAAGGGGATTCAAGTTTGTTCGAATGAAGGGCCACGCCCTCATTAAAGGGGAGATAATTGTGAATTAATGAAAATTTGATGGCATATTTTAAAAATCTTCTTCTCAAGAACCACTGTGCAAGGAAAGATGAAACTTATGGGGAAACATCTTCAGGTAGTGTAAATTCAAGTTTGTTCAAAACATGACCCCCGGGGGTAGGGCGGGGCCAAAATGGCCGACCAAACTTTTACATAGAAATATATAGGAAAATTCTTTAAAAATCTTCTTCTCAAGAATGACAAAGCCATAATTCATCATATTTATATGGAAGCATGTTCAGGTAGTGTAGATTGAAATTTGTTCAAATCATGACCCCCTGGGGTAGGGCGGGGTCAAAATGGCCGACCAAACTTTTACATAGAAATATATAGGAAAATTCTTTAAAAATCTTCTTCTCAAGAATGACAAAGCCATAATTCATCATATTTATATGGAAGCATGCTCAGGTAGTGTAGATTCAAGTTTGTTCAAATCATGACCCCTGGGGGTAGGGCGGGGTCAAAATGGCCGACCAAACGTTTACGTAGAAATATATAGGAAAATTCTTTAAAAATCTTCTTCTCAAGAATGACAAAGCCATAATTCATCATATTTATATGGAAGCATGCTCAGGTAGTGTAGATTCAAGTTTGTTCAAATAATGACCCCCAGGAGTAGGGCGGGACCAAAATGGCCGACCAAAGTTTTACATAGAAATATATAGGAAAATTCTTTAAAAATCTTCTTCTCAAGAATGACAAAGCCATAATTCATCATATTTATATGGAAGCATGCTCAGGTAGTGTAAATTCAAGTTTGATCAAATCATGACCCCTGGGGGTAGGGCGGGGCCAAAATGGCCGACCAAACATTTACGTAGAAATATATAGAAAAATTCTTTAAAAATCTTCTTCTCAAGAATGACAAAGTCATAATTCATCATATTTATATGGAAGCATGCTCAGGTAGTGTAGAGTCAAGTTTGTTCAAATCATGACCCCCGGGGGTAGGGCGGGGCCAAAATGGCCGACCAAACTTTTACATAGAAATATATAGGAAAATTCTTTAAAAATCTTCTTCTCAAGAATGACAAAGTCATAATTCATCATATTTATATGGAAGCATGCTCAGGTAGTGTAAATTCAAATTTGTTCAAATCATGACCGCCGGGGGTAGGGTGGGGCCAAAATGGCCGACCAAACTTTTACATAGAAATATATAGGAAAATTCTTTAAAAATCTTCTTCTCAAGAATGACAAAGCCATAATTCATCATATTTATATGGAAGCATGTTCAGGTAGTGTAGATTCAAGTTTGTTCAAATCATGACCCCCGGGGGCAGGGCGGGGCCAAAGTGGTCGATCAAAGTTTTACATAGAAATATATAGGAAAATTCTTTAAAAATCATTTTCTAAAAAATAGCAAATCCTTGACTGGTCATGCGACTACTTTAATTTAAACTTTACAATAAAAAGCCATTTTCTACTTTTTTCCTACCCTTAGTCTTCAGGTGAGCGATGTGGCCCATGGGCCTCTTGTTTGTATTTCAACCCCCTATGTTTCCAACAGTGATTGTCTGTATACCTGCAAAATAGCTTAAAATATGGTGATCAAATTTACATGAATTTTAAGGTCCATTTACTATTAGTATTTGAAAATCTGTTTTATTACATAGACAGAAAGAAGCACCTCAATATTTCGACTAAGGTTAGTACAGTGTATACATGTGTCGGCATAGTTGCATACATACATGTATGCTCTTATTTCTGCATAGTGCAGACGGTCGAGCAGATATAGAGTGATATGTCATATATCACCGAGGCGTTACAGCCAGGTTTGTTAACCTGTTACACTGTGCCCTTAGGTTTTTGTTGACCAAATACAAATATATAAAACTTCAATACAGACAAAACGGTTTTTTTTTTTATAGGCTTAACACTTAACGGATGTCTTTTGTAAATTAATTTACTCTGATTCTGTCACTTTCAAGATTCAAAATATCCTGCCCCCATCTTGATGGAATGCTAACTCTCTCCAAAAAGCAAGCAACTGTATTCTTCTTACATGTCTGGTTACTAGTATCTTTAAATACTTAGCCGTCTGTTATCCGCATCTATCTGTCTTGTACAAGTGTTAAATCACTATACATGTATAGGAGAATAAACGAATAAAGTTAAATACTCCGTCACTAGATAAGTATCCTTGGCTAAGGTTGTTTGTTTGCTTTATGCCGATTAATGTCACTCTCGAGTTTTTCACTCATATGGATTCGCATCCAATTTTCGGTGGAGAGCTATAATTAAGAATGCGAATGAACTTGTGAATTCCATTCTTGTATGTAATATCAAAATAAAGAAATCTTTAAGTTCATGTTTGAATTTTTGACTGAAGTTAAATCACAAATACCATTGGTATTGGTAATCAGAAAATTAATGGAGCTGTACCAAGAGGGAATGTTTTTCTAAAACAATGATTTGGATTCACAATATGCACCTTTTGAGATTGGGAAAGACTGGCCTATAGGTTTTTCAAAACTATACAAATATGCAGAATCATGCAGGAAATTATAACACAGAAAGTGGCAGAGAGAATATAGGTAATAAGTATAAGATTGTACACCGAATCATACTTTTTACAGTTTCATCTATGCTTAATGCTTTTCAAAAGTGCTTTGATAAATGATAACTGCATTTTTAAGCATGATTCAAATATAATTCCTAAAGGATTCAAACGAAGATTAGTAGTTTGGAAATTCTTCAACAGGTCTTGAAAATGTAAGAATGCAGAGTACAAAGCAAACTCCTGCTTATTTTTGCCGTCTCCATATGAGTGAAAATTTTTCGAGAGGGACGTTAAACAACAAAAAATAAATCAAACTGACTATTTTCAAAATTGTTGTTTAAAGAAGCAGTCATCACCATCTTTCCTAAAATTTTACTTTCTATGATATTTCTACAATTCATTTATAGCTAAATACAATGGCAACAGGAGAGATATTTTTTCCAACAAAAAATATTCATAAAGCAACAATATGACCAATTCAATAAACCAATCATATGACAATAATTTCTTTCGAAAACAATTCTTCTTAAAATGAGAAAAAAAGTCCTTAAGATTAATTCTACTAGGAAAATATGAATTGATTGTATTTCATTAATATTAAATTACTAAACTTTTGTTTTGCAATGTGTGGAAAACTAATGAAGTTAAGATTGAATTCTCAAAACACAATTAAGGGAAGACTAGTACCTTAAACGATAGTTTTAAGTACGAAAAAATTTTTTTTTTGATAAAATGCAGGAAAATCCAGAAAAGTTAAAACGTAAAGCGGTACAACAATCAAAAGTAATGATATATTTTACATAAAGCAGAATAAATCCGATGGAAGACTTAAGAAATAACCCCTTTGACTTCGTAATGTTAATATTGTGGTGGATAGGCAGGGTTCCCTCCATAGTGTGGTTGTTGTCCATAAGGATTGTATCCGGGTTGTGGTTGTCCGTAGCCGGGCTGTGGTTGTCCGTAGCCAGGCTGTGGTTGTCCATATCCGTTGTCAGTATGGACTGTTGCAAAACGACACAGAAATTTTGAAATCAAAAAGTTTTCTGTTACTGAAAATCGGACAAATGTATTTTGTATACGTATAAAAAAAGATAATTGGAACGAAGAGTCACTACATAACGTATGTCAAGTATGACCGATCAACAGGGGATGCTAACTCCATCAAGGCTACGCATGTGAGTTAAGGCTACATATGGAAATTTCTGTACAAAATATCTAATTAAATTCCATAATTGCTCCACCTACCGCACAGAAAATGCTAAGACTTGTTTTCTTATACATTCTTGGTACCCACGACATGCGATAGTCAGTACACATTATGACGTCATATTATGACGTCATCGACCTGTACTACACAAGTTTATAAGAAACATCAACAAAATCGCTTCGGCGCAAGGGCATACCTTACTTTGTTTTACAGAAACAAGGTATCAAAAGACGCAGGATATTCCAAGGATTTAAGATATTGCTGCACAAATGTCGGCAGTGCAATTGGTTACTTACTATTCGTGCAGTTTTAAGTTTTAACAGGGTAAAAATTCACTGTCCAGGGCAAGTTTCCTAAAATTTTTATCAATTGAGAAAGTGCATAGGATTTGTGCAGCAATTTTATTAATTTTAAGAATATTCACCTTAATATTATACATTGTTTATTTTAAATTAGATAGGATAGGCCCTTGCGCCGACGTGATTTTGTTTATATGATTTAATACCTTGAATAGGAGAGAACAATGACGTCATAATTTGACGTCATAATGTGCACTTGCATAGATAAACTGTGGGTACCGAGTATGTATCAGAAAATCAATTTGAACCTTCTCTGTACATAAAATATACAAATTATGAATTTTCATTAGCTTATTTGCATAAAAATATCCATATTTAGCCTTAACTCACTTGCGTATTAATCCCACTCTTGAATGTCCATTCCCGTCACTGTTTTTTTTTATTGTTATAGATTTTTTTTAAAAAAATGATCTTTATCCATATCATTAATGTTAAAAAAGTAAACATTACCTGTGGTAACTGTATTGGGACTGGCCACATTGTGAACAACTCCGCTCCGATGATTTTTCTTATAGATGATTATGACCACAACGACGACCACGATTATAAATACCACGGCGCCTATTACTGCCCCAGCAATAGTACCGACGTCGCCATATGAAGTGCTGTAGTAGTAGCAGTATCTTTTCCTGTAATACGACGAATAGCGGCAGTACGAAGCTGCAACACTCTCTCCTAGAAAGGTGAACCACATGCCATTTTTTTCGGTCATATATTGTTCAAAATGTACGTGCAGATTTGATATTTTCATGTATAGATGTATACTATGAACTCTTACACATAAATATTGATTTATTGAATGTATTTAAGAAATATAATAAACACATACATTTGCTAGAAAATTGTATATTTCAAATATCAATGTTTGACAATTTTTTGTTGTAGGCAGTGTAAGTTTGTGAGAGAGTATGTGTAAGTAAAGATATTTATATGTGTTTCATCTAAATGTAATGAAGCATCTATCGTAATGATCGTTTGTGCCTCACTTTTTATTTTATTATTTCTAATCAAGGTGACTATGAATAGTTTTCTTTGATTAAAAGCAATGCTCTAGATATTTATACAACATCTTTGTCGGCTAACTGTGTATTTAACTTCTAAACATATTTTGCCGACACTCTGTCTTACGGTACTTGTATGTATAGTGTTTGTACGTGCTTTTTTATATTAGAAAAACTAAAAGAAAATTATAATTTATACCTTTTTTGTTTTTAATAGTCAATCAAAATTTTTATGGTCACTTTATTTAAATTAATGTGTAAAAATTAATCATGTAAATCTTATTAGAAATTATTACAGTACTATCTCTCGATATATAATTTTTTCCAACCTTCAAGAGAAAAAGAGAGCATATAATAATGAGCAAGAAAAATTTACTTGTATTTAATATAGAACATTTAAAAGAATGCACTAAATACAAGTCATAAAAATGTTATTGAAATTTCATGAAATGAAAAGCTAATTGCTTACTTATGATGTCAAAGAAGCTGAGAAATAATATCCATACAATTCCAGTTGAAGCCATGGTTGCTCTTTAAAGACCATGCAATTGGAATGTGGAAAAAGCAATTGGTAGATTAGAATACATATTTAAATCTTTATATCCCACAAGTCCAACTTGTATAGGAACACGTTAATATATCCATTCAGCTCAAAGATGCCTTTTGTCTAATTTGATATATAGTTTATTAGTTTAAAATAAAAGCCTTTTGTCATTGCAGTTTATCACATAAAGAAGATCTGCAATAGCTTATATTTATTTTAATTTGAAACACACAGATATAAACATTCAAAATCTGTTTAGTTTTTTTTTCATTTATAATATCATGCGATGAAATATATGTAGTAAAGAGAAACAGCAACCTCTGTTGTGATATATTAAGGTTGCATGTGATTTCCTTAATCAGTCGGGAGTGTTCAGACGTCAGTATAATTTGTCATCTTTTTATTTTTGAAATTCACAATCGTTTTCAATTTAGATGTTTGTTTATTACCAAGATGAAGACGCGGTGAAGTCATCAAAAAGAAACTTGCTTGCAGAATATACGAGGCTTGACTGTAATATCATTGACAAGGTGTCAAATGTGAAAAATAATCATGACTGCGTTGTGAAATGTTCACTATTTTAAAGTATGAGGATATATATTACGAATTTACATTAAAAAAATTCAAATAGATACATGTATATTCAATAAACACATTATGATTTTATGTTATGCATTGCATCGCCTTATTGCGCACGGTTGATAACGTCAAAATGTCTAAAGCAGAGTCACGTTTCACCTTTGCTAAAAATAAAGTTGGAAAAGTCTCACTTAAATTTAGGAATTTCACTGATGCACCTACTTGGGTCTACATAAACAGTTGAGGAACCAATCTGGCACACACAGGCGATCTTAATAGTAAGTTACGGACAATATTCCCACCATCATTCAACTAATAGGAAATCTATATTGATGGTCAACAGTAATAGCGTCTTTTGCTATTACAATAGCAGTTTGTCCGTATGTTTCATACTACCCCGGGCCTCGATTAAAAAAGACTTCGCTAAGAAAACTTCCATTTCATTTGTTTACTTAAGATCTGGTAATATTTTCAAATTTGTTTCTCTATTTATGTAAAGTCTCTTAATTAGATGTCATTACAACTTCTAAATCAAACTGAACCGCTCTCTGGTCAAACTTCTGCTACGCAGAGTTCGTTTGCTCACGAATAGGACTGAAATATCAACTGTCAATTTCAACTTATGTTGGGAACAGTGTACAGCTGTATTGCATGTGTTTCTGGAATATGAAAAATTATATAATATAATATCTTAAAACCCTAATTTTAGTTCGTTTTAATCCAATTCATGGACATAATGAGAACTTAATGGTGAAAGCAGATGTTTATATATACATTTCTTATGTCAAACATCGTAGTTTAAGTATTGCACAGATAAAAAAGCTGACAGAAAGCTGTTTTTTCATTTCCTTTTGAAAATAATTATTCATTTGCTCGTATTTCCAGTATAATGAAAATAAGAAATATCTAACTCCTTACATCCTTAATTTTAGCTCTTTTTATTCAATAAGTAGAGCCGAGGAGAATGGAAAGGTAAAAGATGTATAGTGAAACAATTGTCATGTCAAACATCGTAGAAGTGTTTATATTAGGTATGATTACATGTACAAGCTTTTAAAAAATATTACGGAGAAACTGTTTTTTTTTCTGATAATAATTCGAATTTTAATTTTTTCTGATTTTGAATATTATCATTTGCTAATATGTCGTACAAAAACCTCTATGTTCCTTATAAATTAATCAGACACCTGGGGGTGAAAAGCGGAACAGGTGAACAGGAGAGGACGTTCTACGTTTTAAGAACTTGTGTCTAATCCTTTCGTTGTAACATCTAAACAATAAATTATGTTCAAATCAACAGCGGTTTCACATGGAGATGCCACCACTTGTATGAAGGGCTGCACATGCATACTTATGCTGAACACTCAAGGTTTTTAATGAGCTGTAAGGGATATTTTTTTTTTCGTTCCAGCACCAACTGCGATAGGGAGTCCCGGTGTATACAGTCTCATCTGAAGGACCGTCTCCACATCCCACCGTGATTCAAATCATACATAACGTAGATCTCGAGATTTGCTCTTTTATTTCTTTTATTGTGTAAATAAATAAACATATATATTTACAATGTATACATATAATAATTAAAATATATAATTGCATTGAAAAATGTTCAAATGAGCACCAGGTCAATTAAGTCAAAGATAGAGTAAACTAAGGAATTAAATATCAATGTAACAATGCAAGTTCTAAACATATCAAAATGGCACAGAAAGTAGCAATCTTTTTGATTTTTTAAAAAAAATTACTATCATTAAATTTCAGTTTATATATGTAGCTTACGCATTTCCAAGCTTCCCTAAGCATGGTATTCAATATAAATTATATAGTATGCATATGTGTATTTATAAACAACAAAAACATTATATTTTTAATATCAAATAAACATTTTTAAATTACAGTTATTGTAGTTATGAATTCACTTTTAAGAATTACATGGAGAGAAAAAAGGAATCGCTTTTTAAAATGTAGAACATAGCTTGATGAGCAAGCAATACTCAGGCTGGCAAGTTATTGATGTGCTACAATGTATATCAGTATTTGGCATATGGTTGAGTTAATGAGGTAGAACATTGTTGTGCTAAATTAGTATTTAGCGTATGGTGGTGGTGAGGTAGAACCCCCAGGTGGCCCCGGTGAGTGACCAAACCCTGGCTGTGATGTTCCTGTGAAATGACCTGACTGTGTTGCCTCTTGTAGTCCTGGTTGTGGTTGTCTTGGTGAATGACCAACCCCTGATTGTTGTGGTACTGATGAATTATCACACCCTAATTGTGGTGTTCCTGGTGGATAACCAAGCCCTGAGAGTGGTTGCTCATACCCTGATACATATAAAGAATCATACTCTGGCGGTGGTGGCATATTTTCTGGTAGTGATGTATGTCGAGGCAGTGTTGAATATTTTGGTGGTTCTTCATATCTAGGTGGTGCTGGTAAACAATAAGCATGCTGTTCATGATCATTATATTGCCCAAATATGGGATTTTCAAATATAGGATATCCAAATACAGGCAAACCTGAAATTTTTTTTACAAAAACAAATATTAAAAAATAAGTATAAAAGGAGTAAAAATACAATATCAAAAATATAAAATGCAAAATAAAAGTAAGATGATTATCTTAGATAATTAGGCCATTATCGGGTCACGTATAGTATACGGATATGTAGTTCCTGTGGATTCACTCACATTGAAATAGGAGTGAATAGTCCTTTTAACTGTAATAGTAATTTGAAATAAAAAATATTAAATATTATTATTATTTATTTTTTGCATTAAACTAAATTTATTGCATTCATAAATATTCATAAGTATTATGTATATGAATATATAAAAAATACAAACTTACATGAATATATTATATTTAGCACTCTAATATCTAACGAAAGTCTACAGGTCGACAGGTCTACAGGTCAACAGGTCTACGGGTCGACAGGTCTACATCTTAATAAAGCACCCGCTAATATCAATATTTTATATTAAACCATTTCACATTCTTCCCAATCACCATAGAAACTCAATCATTTATTATTATTCATTGAAATTGAATAACATTTGTACATCTCATATAATTTTTACTTTTATCTGTTACCTCATTTACAAATACATGTATACTTGTCAAATAATTTGTATATTGTCCAAAAAAAAGTATAATCATCAATCTGAATTTTTAATACTACAATATCTAGGAAACATTGAAACCCTTGTTTCTTACCACGTATAATCATATTTATTGTGACCTTTATACCCTGACGACCTGTTGACCCGTAGACCTGTATACCTGTAGACCTGTCGATCTGTAGACCTGTAGACCCGTAGACCTGTTGACCTGTCGATCTGTAGACCCGTAGACCTGTAGACCTGTCGATCTGTAGACCCGTAGACCTGTAGACCTGTCGACCTGTATACCCGTAGACCTGTTGACCTGTCGACCTGTATACCCGTAGACCTGTAGACCTGTATACCAGTAGACTTGTAGACCTGTCGACCTGTATACCCGTAGACCTGTAGACCTGTCGACCTGTATACCCGTAGACCTGTCGACCTGTATACCCATAGACCTGTCGACTTGTAGACCTGTAGACCTGTCAACCCGTAGAACCGTAGACATGTTGACCCGTAGACCTATCGACCCGTATAACTGTAGTCATGTAGACCTGTATACCCGTAGACCTGTAGACTTGTCGACCTGTATACCTTTCTACTTGTAAACTTGTCGTAATACAGACACATTCATAATCATATTCATGTTTAATATGAATATTTCATCATTATTATTCATACTTATTCAAATTGAATAATTAATAGAATTTACTTAAAATTCATAATATTGATTTCTTATTGAATCAATAGTAATGAATATTGCGCATTAGTATACCCAAATATTTTAAATGTAAACTTATTTAAACCTATGCCACATTTGCAAATAAATGCGCAGTGTCCGGAACTACTTAAACGTATACTATACTTAAATTATAACTGCTTAAATGTATCATGTATCAAGGAATGCTACATATTGTACTCTTGAAATATTTAAAAAAAAATTAGTCATAGTTGTCCACAAAAAGGTATTTAAATTTGATAATATGCAATTTATTTTACCTTATATATATAAAATAAAATGTAAAATTTTGAAGTAAAATAATGTTCACTTAATTGATGCGTGTTTTTTTTAAACCTTGATCGCTTAGCAAAATCTTTCATCTTTGTTCGTTGTGATTTTTCTTTCTTGGATTACTATGAACAAATTAATTTGTACATGTACTTCTACATGTATATAGTGCTCAACTTTAAATTAAACCTTATATAAGTGATCGTTTTGTCAGTGATTCAAACAATAGATCATTTTTTATGTAAAATCTCCCGAGTATACAGTATAACTTTAATTTTTGCACACTGTATATGTTAATGAAGGTTTTGGTATATACCTAATATTGCAATAGAAGAAGAAAATAAAATGCTCAAGGTAGAACAAGTTGAATCTTAAAAAATATTCAATGCTGAAACGTCTTCAAGTTTTTTTTTCATGAGGTAACTTTAAACTCTTAAATAATTATGAAAACTGAATATTACCATTGTTAACGGTGTCGGTTCTAGTCGGAGACATCTCCTCTTGACAAATATTTGTAGTCTCGTGTGAAGACGGTTTATTTTTCTTGCAGCAAAAAATCAAAATCGCGAGCACTATACCACAAAAACCAAAAACTCCTATAAAAGGTCCATATTGAAAGTTTGAAACTGAACTGGCAGAAGGAGTAACATCATCGCAGGGAATCATCGTAAAGTTTGGATTAGGCCAACAGGATTCTACTAATTTCAGATGACTGTCTACAAAATATTAAAAAAAAAACGAAATTGATTATAAAAAAAACTTTGTCAAAGCGTTCATGTCCAGAATTATCAAATGAAGACAATGATGTAATCTGTTCTTGTCGGTACACATTACCAAATATAAAATTCATTTTTAGATATTTTTCATATTATATAGTTTCTAGTATAACCACTTATCTCGATAAGGTGAATAAAACACAAACATGAGGTTGTTTTTTTATGTTTTCACATAGTGTATACATGTATAAGCAAATCGTACATACCATGTTTTTCTTTTTTAAAATTAAAATTCTCATTGATGTAGACATGTTGTAATTGATGTTTTGCAATGGAAAATATAAAGATTACGGAAAGTATTCAAGCTAAAAAGTCCAGTAAATATATCAAATTTCAAAATTAAGGAAATGTAGATTGAATGAGTAAATATATACCCAGGGTAAGCCACTTGTAGAAAATAGAAAGAAAAGAATTTAAAAAGACATTATTTGGAAGAACCATTTAACAAGAGTAAATACCAAATGATATCCTATCAAAACTTTACGGCCCTGCGTCCATTAACTGTGGGGTGAAATCCTGACATAAAAATAGAACCGAGACTGATATTAATCATTTTAATGCTGGAAAGATTATACTTACTTATGACACTGAAAAATATCCAACCATTAAAGAATGATAAGGCTGCCATGGCGTTTGGGAAAAAAATTGGTTTGATTAGAATTGGAAAGTAAATAAACACGCAATTTTGGGAATAAACTTCCGGGTAAGGAAAATTCAGACTACGTATAGAATAACCTAGTTTAAATAATCCAAGAGTACGGCAGTACTAAGCCTTAAAAAAATTATCATTCCGTACGGTTCACAAATCTGACAGAGTAATTGAAATCGTTACGGATAAATGATTATGCTTCAAATCATCTGGGCTAATTGGTTATGCTACAAAGAATTCATTCCTTCGAAGGCTACTGCCGTCATATGACCTACAATTAATAATTAAACTATGTATACGAACCATTTATACAAATACTGATTTTTTCAACAGAGTGTGCAAGCATATTCAATATCGTCCGTTAGTGCCTTAAAATTGTTTACACACTCTGGTGTGGTAATAAGACCACATCTCTTAAAAATTAATATTAGTAATTCAATGCTTAAATTAACATTTTTAAAACTCCCCGTGTGGTTTGCATGTTTTTTTGTATTTCAACACCGTGTGATGTTTCTTTGAACTTTGATTTTTTATCTAATTCATCTTATTGTAGGTTATCTCGTCCAGTCATATTTTTTTAAATTAATTTGTATAACTTTCTCAAACTTAAATCAAGAGACCTTTGTTTTTAGAAAAGATTGCCTGTATACTCGCAAAATAACTTGTCGAATTAAATGTTGTGATCAAATTTACACATTTAAGGACCAGTTACGACATGTAGTAATATTTGAAAATCTATTTTATAACATAGACGAAAAGAGGTACTATGGAACGCCATCACTGCCTTATAGCATAAAACTATGCATTCATTATGTCAATCTATCATAACGTGATGTGAACATATCTTTACGTTATGTCAATTTTTTATGGGGTGATGTAAAAATATCTTTACATCATGTCAATGCTGATTACATGAAGTAAACACATTCTTCCGTTATGTCAGCACTTTATAACTTGAAGTCGGAAGTTCATTATGTGAAGTGAAAATATGTTTACATTGTGTTAAAACTTTATTACGTGAAATGAATGTTTCTTTATATTATTTCATTTCTTTAATATGTGAGGTCAAAATTGCATCACGTCAAGTAAATTGTGTTTTATAATTAAACTTATCATTACATGAAGTCAAAAGTCCATTCCTTTTTGAGAGTGTATATGTCTATTATGTCAAAGCATTATTACGTGATATGGATTTATCTTTATATTACGGCGAGAGTATCATGATGTGAGGAGAACACATTTTACCTTTATGTCAGTGCTTTATTACGTGGTATAAAAAGTGTATAACATAATGTGAACATATCTTTATATTATATCAACACTTTATTACATTATGTCAAAACTCCATTCCGTGATGTGGATATATAATTACGTTATGTCAACTCTTATGTGATTTGAAAAATATCTTTATATTGTGTTAACTCTTTATCATGTTGATTCCAAAAGTTCATTACCTGATGTGAAAATACATTTACATTATCTGAAAGCTGTATATCTAGTATAATAATGAATGTTGACTACTGTATTTTAATGACTGGTAAGAGGGGGGGGGGATTGAGTAGGACGAATAATTATAGACACATAATATCAGCCCCCCTCTTTTCCCAGACATAACCTTATTTTAGAAAATGTAATGTTCATTGAAAGTACAGCCCCCACCCCCACTTATTGTTGAAGTATAGTCCACTAGGGGTAATGTAGTATAACTGAAAAAAATATATGACTAATCAAAGTCGGACCCCCCTCTCCGAAATAGGATTTTCGGGCTTGGACAAATTTTTTTGGCTTGTCAAGTTTTTTCGGGTAAATATTTTTTTTTTCTGGCTGACATCCTCTTTCAAATAAATGCTATGTCACGGAATTAGTTACTGTAATTTTTTCAACCATTCCAAGACCAGAATTCTGTTATAAAAATCTACCAGTCCCTCATCTAAATCAGTTGAATATGCCTTAATAAGCATGCATGGGCACATATTTGTGGCGCATATGGGTATCTTGAAAAAGAAGGGGGACGGTATAGAGTTGGTGACCAAAGGGGGAAATCAGAAAAGCTCTCCGGCAGGCTTTATAGTTTAATAGAAAAAAATTTTCAATATAATTCAGCTAAACTTAATGTGAAAGTAATGCAATGTCCTACAATGTAAAACTAATAAATTTATTAATTTTATGTATATTTTGGTGACTAAAGATGGTAGGGCGGGATTTCTGACCCCCCCCCCCCCTTCCCCAAGCCGCCAGTGCACGTGTGTTATTCGATCGATGTGTTTACACTTTAAAAAAGGAGAGTTAAAGACTGATAAAAAAAACTTATGACAGTGTTCTGAGTACGATCAGAAGTTTAAGATTTTTATTTAAAAAAAAGCAATTCAAAAGAAAAAAAAATGCTGCACGACTCATATTTGATTTATTTAATTATCAGATAAAAGTAAACGCCATTGAATTTCGACGCGTGACTTTAATTCACAGTCGCAGTGTTAAGGCTTTGCACATTTCAAGGTTGTTAATCATTTTTCGCTTAAAGTTTTTATATCATTTAATCGCTGAGAATTTATTTCATGACAGTTTTCTCTCCCGCCATTTTTAGTGCTTTCGGAATGCGGAAAATACGTTGTGCTCATATAAAGGCCGAGGATACCCGTGTTCGCATAACGTAATAGTGAATCGACATAATGTAGAAGAGTGCGCACAGTATGACATGAGCTTTCCACATCTGATATGAGATGAAATAGCCTAAGATACATGTATGCTGACAGGAGGCTTAGCATTTTTGACACACTGTAAAGACACAATGACATAATGTAATAACGATTTGTCAAAAAGTAAGGGCAAATTCACATCATGAAATTGATTCACGTCGTCATGTAGCATATTGAAGGCATAAAGTAGTAAAAGAATTGACCACATGTGACAATTTTTTCAGATCATGTTATGAAATTCTGACATCGTATTATAGCGACTTCATATTGAGTTAAAGATAAATTCACATCATGTAATGAACTACTTAGACCAAATAGTAGAGAGTGCACATAATGTAATAATGAGTTGAAAATATATAAAAACATTTTTACACCACATAAAATTGTTTTGACTTGATGTCATAAAGAGCTGATATAATGCAGTGGAAGATTGGCGCAATGTAATTAAAGTGCGAGTTAATGCCATAAAGACTAAACATAATGTAATTGAAAGTTGACATAACGCAATAGTAGTGTGTGTAATTGTCATAAAGAGTTGACATAATGTAATGAAAGGTTGACACAATGCAATAGTAGTGTGGACTAATGTCATAAAGAGTTGACATAATGTAATGTAAGGTTGACATAATGCAATAGTAGTGTGAGTAAATGTCATAAAGTGTTGACATAATGTAATGGAAGGTTGACGCAATGCAACTGTTGTGTTCTGTTATAAGGCAGTGACGGCGTTCCATAAGGTACCTTTATAATGTGACTAAGGTAAGTACAGTGAAGACATGTATTGGCATATTTTGCATACATGCTCTTATTTCTGCATAGTGCACACGGCCGAGCTTGGATTGCGTAGAGTGATATGTTATTTATCACCGAGGCGTCCGAGTCAGGTTTGAAAACCCGTCACAGTACCAGTAGGTTTTTGTTGACCAAATCCAATTCATATAACTTTAATACAGACATAAACGGTTGTCCTTTATAAGTCACTTTATTTTGATCCTGTCACTTTCAATATTCAAAATATCCTGGCATTTCTGCCAACTTGGTGGGATGCAACTGCATTCTTTAGGTCTTACGCGTCTGGTTTCCAGTATTCGTAAATGCTTCGCCGTATGTCCTCCTCAACTGTCTGTCTTGTACAGGTCTTAAACCACTATAGAGGAGAATAAAGGCGCAAAGTTAAATACTAGTACTCTGTTACTAGAGAGGTATCCTTGGCTAACTTTGTCTGTTTGTTTGTTTGCTGTTTAACGTCATTCTCGACAACTTTTATTCATATAGATTCATGAGATTTGCAATCTTTTTTCGGTGGCGAGCTGCAAATTTTGTCCTATTGTACTCAACACTCAGAGTCATTGATCGGTGAGGAATCGTTTTCATTCTCACACCTATACTGCGGCAAGGGATCTTGGTTTACACGGTCTCATCCGAAGAAAGGGTCTCCACATCCCATACCTTAATTCGAACCCGCGACGTAAGGATCAACTCCTTACTCCAAGACTCAAGAAAAGACGTTCTAATCATTATGCCAAGCGGGGAACCCTTAACTAAGAATTAAAATTCAGTATGTATTATCTCAGTGCAGTCCCAGTGGACTTTTACGAGAAGCACTGACTTTCACAGTTGACGGTTTACTTATCATTTAAACCTGTATTGTGTATGGAGGTACGGAATTGATAATAGATAATAACACATTTCCAGTGGTCATAGGTAATGCCCCTAATGTTGTTAGGGGAATTAACAAATGAAGACCGAGAGTTGAGGGTAGGGTGGTATTCGTTTTCTTTAGGGACAACTGATTTACGCTTTGAAATAACGCATTATTTTGGTTGAATTTAACTGTTGAGCTAAATCTTTTATGGTAAAAGAGCTTCCGTACATTTTTCAAGCGTAAAAGTAAGCTGTCAACTGTGAAAGTCAGCGCTACTTATAAAAGTCCAATACTTTGACAGTTTTAATCTACTGAAATGAATTAACGATTTTTAGTGTTACTAAAACGTTATCTTCAGTTTTATACGAAACTAATTAAAGAAAACCATCTCCTTTCATCCCTGTTCAAAGCCTGTTCCTAACAGTGAGTAAATATAAAATAAACAATGCAACTAAACCCATTATTTGTATAGGTTATCTTTGTTTATACTAACTATAATTTGGCAACAGGAATATTGTTCAAAATCTTAAACGTGAAAAAGAAGAAAACATTTTATGTATTCTTATGCTTATATGCAAGCTCACCGCAGCTTGTTTTTGCTAATTTTGTATAAGTCAAATAAAACACTTTCATAGAGATGAATAATGTCAT